AAAAAGGCATGAAAGTCGTGATGATTATGCTGCAAACAGCGGTTATACTGGTAGCGATGCTAACAGTGGTAACACTGATAGCAGTGATTACTGATTACACCGGTAGTGGTAATCTATTGCAGAAGGATTGTAGCCGGCTAATGTACGGAAATGCTAGCATGCGAATAACGTCTTTTGATGAGCGATTACACGTGCATGCGTCTTATTTTTGTATGTCTTCTTTTCTTCATCTTTGTCCATTCGAAGCTCGTTTTTGTAGATCGGTAGATTGGGAGTAGCGTCAGGTGCGTTACCACTACATGATGATGCGGTAACGTCTCAGGACGAAGCCTGGCAGGAACAGTTCAGGTGCGGGCGGACCTTTTAGGAAAGTTATTGCAGTTTACTGTTAATCATAACTTTTAGGAAACTGTTAGCCAAACCCACCCACAAAGTAAGTTTCGCTGAAACAAAGCGGTTATTTATCAATGTACGAGGATGGAGTAACTTTGATGCCGTCTTTTTTGGTGAGTGCATAAGTGGTTTTTCTTTTCATTGGTTCTTCTTTCTTCACGCAGAGCAATTTTTAGTATCTTCGTTGACCGGTGAGGGTATTGAGCCGTTGCGCGAGCATCTAAAGAAGTTGTCTTTCGAGAGAAACTGGAGAATGGATGAAATGGCCGTCACTTCCAGGGTAAGTTAAAAGTTAACCTTTCAGTGAATCTAAATGCTCATAAGATTTTTTCTTATTTTTTTTGCCATCACTGTATCTTATAGGCTAGCGCCATACTTGATCGATTTGATCCATTTGATCCAGTTCGTTATTGGTCAAATCAGTGAACTGACCAATAGTGATTTGGATCAAATGGATCAAGTGACCAAGTGGAACAAGTAGGTGCTTGCCTTATACTTCGTCGAGGTGCATTTCAGAATCCTACAAGGCACATTTCAGAATCCTCAGCAGATTTGTGTTGACTCCGTTCGTGCTGCTCTTCTTGATACCACTCCGTCTAATGTTGCTTACCAACTTAAACCCAAAATAAGTGAATGGAAAGTGGAGGGCGAGGTATTGCGAGATGATTTTCCCCTTACTTCGAATGTTAGCGATAGAATTTAGGTGCTACAAATCGTTGTAGAGATCAACTGTGATAAAGAGCGCATTGGACGACTGCTCATTGGCAAGGTTTGTGATAGACTATTCATGTGTAATCCCATAATTCCCGATGTGCCACTTGTAGGGTGGTCGCCGAATAGCAGAGATTGGAAAGCGTGTCAATGATCATATGCACAGTTTATTCGCACGACAGTTATTTGTGCGCATTATCATCAAACACAATGGAAAAGTTGTTGAATTTTTGAACTGATGACAGTAAATCTATGTAGATAAGTTGATGCGAACTTTTATAGGGAAAAACAATGTCCTTTGCAACACGTTTTCCTTTTCCCCAAAGAATGATCTTACTTTTAGCCATCCAGTTTTTGCCTTCGGTTGCTTCAAAATTTGGTTTCGGGTTCCACCAACCCTCAGTGTGTTGTTTATCAAACCTCGAATGCTTGATTTTGACGATACTTCTGCTTGGATTAAAGGCAGCGGCTCGGCAGAATTTCGTTTCTCAGTTTT